TTGTCATTACAAGAGTCCAGAATAAAAGCTGCATAATAAAATGGACTGGGGGGGGATGGTGGGAGGAATTTTTAGCATTGAAATAATTTTATTTATGTATTTATTCTTTACTTAGTAAGGCAAACTGGGGGAGGAGGGGTGGGCGGTAAGTGTGCAACTATGAATGAATGCAATCCAAAGTCTCTGTAAACTTTCATTAAAATAAAAAAAATAATTTCGGGGGGGGGAAGCATCTGAGCAGCCCTCTAAGAATTAACTATTGATCTCTTCCCATTTTTAGCAAAGAAAAGTGAAGAAAATAAAATATATATGGAAATAGTCCAAAGGACCATGTGAATCTTATCTTCAAGAACCCTAGAGCAGAAGAATTAGGTGGTATCTTGTAATCATTGCTGAATGCTCTGAAAGCTATAACAATAACATCCATATTTATTATAAAATTATTCACAATACTTAAGAGCTAGAAACAACCCAAATGCCTGTCCATCAGCAAATAGCTAAAGATATTATGGTAAATCTACACTGTGGAATACTATGCAACACCAAAACCAATGAAGAATTCTGTCACTTGTGACTCATAGCGACCCTATGTACAACAGCCCTAAACTCTGCTCTATTCTGTGCCAATCGCACTGTCTCTGACACTCCCATGCTGATTACCCCAGTCACTGAATCAATCCACCTCATAGAGGGCCTTCCCCTCCTGCACCGTCCCTCTCCAAGGACTGGTCCCTCCTTACAACATATCCAAAGTATGTTAGAAGGAACCTCAGAATCCTTGCCTCCAGGGAGTCGCCCGGTTTAACCCTTTCCAGGATGAATCTGTTTGTTTTCCTAGCAGTCCATGGTACCCTCAATACTCTTCTCCAGCACCACAGCTCAAAGGCATCAATTCTCCTTCAATCCTCCTTAGTCATTGTCCAACTCTCTAATGCATAACAAGTGATAGCAAAGACCATGGCCTGTATCAGACACACTTTAGTCTCCAGAGAGACACCATTGCTCTTCAGTACTTTGGAGAGGTCCCTAACAGCAGACTTTCCTATGGCAATATGTCTTTTAATTTCCTGGCTACTGGTGCCAAGAGTGTTGACTGTGGAGCCAAGCAAACTAAAGCTGTGAACAATCTCAATCTCTTCACTATCTCTTCACCATATGAGACTATGCATAACGTGGACAAATCTGGAGAACATTATGCTAAAGAAATGTCAAAAAAGACAAATAGTAATAGATTACTCTTATGAAAAGTTAAAGAAAGGTGTACATAGAATCATTCTGATAATGAAGGAAGATAGAGAGTAAAAAAAATAAACAGATAATAAACATTAAGATGGGCATAAGGAAAGGCAACACAGAAAAAGTAGATGATGAGATATTATGAGTATTGTTATTGTTATAAAAGAAAATGTGTTTTAATGATTGAAAAACCTGTATACTTTGTAAACAGTCACTCAGATCACAGGAAAATAAATAAGTAAAAAAGATGTCCTGGAGAGAATGGGAGGCAAAAATGGGGACAAAACTTACTCACTTTTATTTACAACCAGAAGATAAAATAGATGAATGGGACCTTCTAAGACTCAAATCCCTAAGCGCATCCAGAAACCTCTCTAACAGGGTAAAAAGGGAAGCCATAGACTGGGAAAAAGTGTTTGGTAATGACATGTCATAGAAGGGACTTATATCTAGAATTTATAAAATACTTGAGCAC